TGGCTGCGTGGGCTCAGGGGTCACAGCGCTGGGGTTGGAGCCACCGAGGCCACGGTTTGGGTCCAGGCTTCAGCTGCCCGTGATTAAACCGGGGTTTGTGCAGCGCGGTGAGTTTGATGGACTCGGGCCGGTGACCGATGACCGCACGCAAAACAGGAACATGACATTCCATTTGGCTCTGCCCCGTGACATTATAAAAGTTAAATAAAATAAAAATCGCAATTCCCTTCATCAACTTGTTTTGACGTCTCGTTCGTAACAGTTTTTCTTTTTTTACCTGCGTCGTTGTCCGTCGATTGAAAAAAAACAACAACACTCGGCATACAAGCGAGTGCCGTACGTCGTAAGCAATGCACTCTCACGCATGAACAATTCCGTGCATAATTCATCGTGAAGCGTCAGAGTTACGTCGCAATCGGCGAACCGATGCGTCGTCAGCTGCGCCGCAATGGCGAGACGTTAACTGCCTCGCCAGGTAGACAGGAGGTCGTGGGGTCGACCTCAACCCCGAAGACTCCTGCTGTATATATTTGGAGTTTGCATGTTCTCCGTGGTCGCGTGGCTTTTTCTCCGGGTCCTCCGTCGCTATTTTTTTACCAGGTAAGGCCCAATGAGCGATTGATCTTTTTTTTTTTAAGAATCGACCTGTCCACAAATGATAGCTCAAAGCAATTGGCTTATGACCACGTGGGAGTGTATAGCGGCAGCTAAATACTCTAAACGCGTGATGTTGATTCTAAATGTGGAGGGAAACAACCGGACGACCCGGAGGAAAATCCACGCGACCACAGGGAGAGAGGGAGAACACGCAAACTCCAAATATACAGCAGGGGTCAGGGTCGGGATCGCGATCGTAAAGCGTGCCTTAGTCTGTCTCTCCGAGCCTCTGTAATCACAACAACAACAACAAACATAATATTAACAACAAGACCGATGTGTGCTCTGAAGTGTGACGTCACAGAACCCCGCGTGTCATCCACTTCCTAGCGGGAGCCGTGGCTCATTAACGGGAAGCCTGAGACATTTGCTTCACGGGGCCTGTACCGTTCCGCTGGAGGTAAATGCGGCTCGCGGGCTTTTTGGGTTTGGTATCTGCGAAATAATGAGGCCACGTGGAGTGGAGGAGCACCGTGACCGGCTCCCCTGTAATGGGATCGCGTTCTGTTTTTCCCTTCTGCACGCGGTCGTTTGGCCCGTGCGGCACGCGCGGGGGGCGACTCTTCATTAACTCGACACTCATTGATTGGTCCGTTAACTTTACGTCGACGAAATGAGGATCGCAGAGCTTGGGCAATTGTTGGCGCTGGCTCGCCGCGTTGCCGTTGGATCCTTTTTTAATTCCTCCTCCCGCTTCTTTCTGTGGTTCCTCCTCGCAGCTTCTAAGCCGTCGACTCTCGTCGAGAGCGAGCGAGCGCTACACAGGTTGAACATATCACGCGTCGAGGCTCCATCCGGATGAGTAATCGAACAAGACGATCAAATCACGCACGGATTCCGCACGCGGCGCTTTCCCGCGGAGGTATTTTAATCAGCGACGGAAAAACGTCGCGTCCCCGGGAGAGCGCCAACGAGGTGGCGTCGTGACGCGAGGGTCGTCGACGAGACGACGGAACGCAGCGCGACGCACGGGCAGCTCTGGGGGAGATGATGCCACACCAATGGGGGGGGAAAGGAAACAAACTTCAGTAACCGGAGCGGGCTCTTGAAGGACTGCTTTCGTGAGACGTGGCATTGCGGCGCGGTGAAATATCGATGGGGTTTCTCTTACTTTGGTTGCCGGCCCCGGTCCGGCACGACGCGGCAAGGTGTCGTGTAAAAGTTGAGTTTGCTGGGGGGGGGGGGGGGGGGGGGGGGGGTTGTGTGGTGGGGGTTGTTTCTTTGTCGGGGACCCCGTGGGTCTCATCGCGGCCCCGCCGGATCGCTCTCTTGCCACGTGACCATCGCTCTCGTTTACGGGAATCAGCGCCGAGGACAAACGCCTGCCGGGAGGCGTCGCACGACGATTCCATGCGCACGCCGTGCTCTTTCTTTACTCGTTTAATGGAGAGAGGGATGGAGAGAGGAGAGAGTGGTGGGGGGGGGGGGGAAGCGTAAATTAATTTTGCTGTTAAAATGAAGTCAATTGGTTCTTAACCCCCGTCGACAGCGATTTTCAGTGTAGCTAGAAGAGCTCCCTTCAGCTTCTTGTTCTCCCACCCCTGCCCCCACCACTGTCCCCCAGTTTGCCAAGTAGGGAGGTGGGGGGGGGCAGCGATACCCACCCGCCCCCCACAAAGACAAAGTTGCAGATCCCCCCCGTAAAGCCTTTAGCAGGATGTTGAGGCAAGTGCTGTTCGCGATCAGCACCAATGAAGGCCGGCACGGCACTCGAGTCAGTGAGTGGCCAACAACCACGCGCGGCCGCCTTTGTCTCCCTCTAGTGCTGATGTTTACACATCGCCTTAGGTGCTAGGTGATGCACGGGACCGGCTGCAGTTTTTTTGCCACTTTATTGGCCGTGAGCGTGAAAATCGAACTCGGGTCGCCGGGTCCGTTACGCAGCGCGCGAACCACTGCGCTACAGCTCCCCCACCAAAACAAAGACGAAGATTCCCCCCGTGTAGCCTCGACGGACTGTATGGGCAAGTGCTGTTGGCGAGTAGCACTCCTGAAGGCCTGCACGGCACCACGAGGGGGTCGGTGGCCAGCAGCACGCCCTGCCGCCTTTGTCTCCCTAGTGGCGATGCTTACACCCCTACCACCGCCAAACACGCACGCACCCTCTCGACCCCCCCCCCCCCCCCCCCGCGAGCGTGAGCTGGGTATTAGCGATGACATCGCGACAATAATCTTATTAGCGAGCCCGTGCAAAGCGCCGCGGTCCTGACAATCGTTTAATTTACGAGCCGTCCGCAGAAATATCCGCGGGGCCCTTAACGTTAATTGCCGGCGTCTGCACAAGCGTGAAACTTCTGCCGATGATGGATTTAATTGATGCCGATCATCATTTCGCATTGATTACAGCGGGGGGGGGGGTCTTGTAGGACGCTGCGAACCACTTGTCAAACAATTACTCTTAAAACAATATCTAAGATTGAGGTGAATCTCAAGGATTTTACTTTTTTTTGGAGTTGTCAGTTTTCTCTGCCATCTGGCGACGATGCACCGAACTCGCCTCTTGCTGATTGGCTAAGGTTGCGTATAAATTGAGGATCGTGACACGGATGTTTCGCAACAACAACAACAACAACAAAAAGCTCTCCCGACAAAGGGGGTCCACCAGTGGGGCTCGGAATTCGATTTTGAAACCTCGTTTTGTGAGCCGCATCCAGAAGACGCGCTCCAGTCGCCTCCGAGGCTGCGACAGCTCCTGGCGAGTAAACGCGGAACTCTGGGCCCAACGTACCAGCCAAAGTTTGGGCCCCAACTCGGTGCCTGCCACTGGGGGGCAATATTAACTGTCCACTGGGGGGCCACTTGAACCGTGAGCGTCATTCCAACGAACGGCGGCGTGCGGCGTGCCTCAAGACCACCTCCATTTCAACCGTCGACCAAACCAAGACGGGAAATCTTCACGGTCTGCCTAGGACCATCAGAACTGTGCAGAATACGGTGATGTAGTTGAACGTAATACCACCAGATCTCGGGGTATGATGGGGGCTGACACCAGTGTCGGCTTATCCCAGTAGCACAAGTAGCTACACAAGGAGCTACACAAGTAGCTACACAAGGAGCTACACAAGTAATTACACAAGTAGCTACACAAGGAGCTACGGGCCCCGCACTTTCAAGGGCCCCGCGCTAAATGCGTTCAAGCTGTCAATTCCGGTTCAGTGATTCTGCACTTGCCCTATTAATATAGTACTATGTATACTGCCTTCAACTTTTACGAACGACTGGGTATTTAAGGTTAGCGATTTGTCGTATTATCTGCCTGTATAGCAAATGAAAAAATACAATTACTTTACTATGCAAGTGACAAACTTGTTTTTGCATATTTATATGTTTATTTATGTATTTAGGGCCCCTTTATAATATATGTGCTACAGACCCCGCACGAGCTGAAACCGACACTGGGTGACACTACCCCCATCGACCCCCCCCTCCCCCACCCGAGATCGCGAAAATTTATATTTACCAGCGGTAATATTTTATTGATATCTACCAGCGGTAATACGTTACATGTTTTAATGTTATCGTGATTAAGGAAGGGGCCCTTATCTTTTAAAAAGCTTGACATTTCGCGACTGGGAATTTTCTAGATCCGCCTCTTCACCACCACGACCACTACGGGATCTTGGTCCGCAAATCCTCCGCGCATTCGTCAATATCACTGCGCGCGCGCGTGTGTGGCCTTAAGACAAAGATCCCCCGTATAGCCTGACAAGGCTGTTGGGGCAAGTGCTGTTAGCGAGCACTCTATGAAGGCCAGAACGGCACACGAGGGGGTGGGGGGTCAGCACCACGCCGGCCTTAAGAGGAAACATAACACGCGATGTTTCGGGCAATGGTCCTTCTTCATAGCACAATGTGCTGAGTGGTGTTGTTGTTTGTTGTTATTTGTACTTGCGCGCCACTGCCAAGATCCGGGCACAAATCAATTTAAAGACACCCCGAACACGGTCACCCGGTTCGCACCCTCGGTACGGCGCGCGTGGGTGTGATGCGTTCACTGCGTTCACCACTATCCACGCGGCGTGCACGCGCGCGCGCACGCCTTTGTCTCCCTCGCGGCGAAGTTTACACCACCGCACCAGCTTCTTACATTTGAGCCTCCCCTAGGTCGACTCGGCCTCAAATGAGCACCTGGTGCGATGCGTAAAAACGATCGCCTAAGGGGAGACCAACACGGCCGGGGCGCGTGGCCCGCGTCGGCCACCTCATCCCAGTCTGCCAGATGCTACACAGTACTGGCACAGGCGGGGGGAGGTGTTTAGGCGGGGGGGGGGGGTGTGGGTGGTGTTTGTGGATTTTTAGTTTCGCCTTCACCTTTGTCTCACCGCCCCCCACCGCCTCGCCAGGTACGTGAGCGTGGCCTACCTGGGCGTGCGGAGCCGCGGGGAGGCCCCGTGCCGTCGCCGCCTGCGCTGGGCGCTGCTGTACGCGACCGCCGACGCCAGCATGCTGCGCCTGCTGCTCGCCTTCCTGCAGAGCGCGCCGCAACTCGTGCTGCAGCTGTGCGTCATGGTGCAGCGCAGCCGCGCCACCCTCGTGCCCGGTGAGTCGTCGACGTCGTCGACGTCTCGCGATCGCCCTCCGTGAGCGGCGGTGTGCTGAGCGGGGAGGTGGTGGCGGTGAGCGGGGAGGTGAACGGTGGTGCGGTGAGCGGGGAGTTGAGTGGCATTGGTTGGGCGGTGGTGCGGTGAGTGGGGAGGGAGGGAGGTGAGCGGGGAGGTGGTGGCGGTGAGCGGGGAGGTGGTGGCGGTGAGCGGGGAGGTGGTGGCGGTGAGCCGGGAGGTGAGCGGTGGTGCGGTGAGTGGGGAGGGGGGGGAGGTGAGTGGGGAGGGGGGGAGGTGAGTGGGGAGGTGAGCGGTGGTGCGGTGAGCGGGAAGTTGAGTGGCATTGGTGAGCGGTGGTGCGGTGAGTGGGGAAGGGGGGGGTGAGTGGGGAGGTGGTTGCGGTGAGCGGGGAGGTGAGCGGTGGTGCGGTGAGTGGGGAGGGGGGGAGGTGAGTGGGGAGGTGCGGAGGTGGTGCGGTGAGTGGTGGTGAGGTGAGTGGTTGTGAGTGGCGTCGTGGTGAGTGGTGGTGAGGTGAGTGGTTGTGAGTGGCGTCGTGGTGAGTGGTGGTGAGGTGAGTGGTTGTGAGTGGCGTCGTGGTGAGTGGTGGTGAGGTGAGTGGTTGTGAGTGGCGTCGTGGTGAGGGGTGGTGCAGTCAGCGGCGAGGTGGACCGTGGTGAGCGGAGCGACGAGGTGAGAGTGAGCCGTGGTGAGGTGAGTGGTCGTGCGGAGAGTTATGAGGTGAATGGCGGTGTGGTGAGTGGCGGTGTTGTAAGGGATTGTTGAGGTGAGTGGTGTGATCAGTCGTGAGGTGAGTGGTCGTGTGGTGAGTGAGGAGGTGATGTGAGTGGGGGTGTGGTGAGGCGACGGTGAGGTGAGTGGAGACGATGTGAGGTGAGGATTGTGGTGGTGTCTCTGGTGGTCGTGGTGGTGGGATTGTAGTGGTGTCTGGTGGTGGTGGTGGGATTGTGGTGGTGTCTCTGGTGGTGGTGGGATTGTGGTGGTGTCTCTGGTGGTGGTGGGATTGTGATGGTGTCTCTGGTGGTGGTGGTGGTGGGATTGTGGTGGTGTCTCTGGTGGTGGTGGGATTGTGATGGTGTCTCTGGTGGTGGTGGTGGTGGGATTGTGGTGGTGTCTCTGGTGGTGGTGGTGTCTCTGGTGGTAGTGGTGTCTCTGGTGGTGGTGGGATTGTGGTGGTGTCCCTGGTGGTGGTGGTGCTGGGATTGTGGTGGTGTCTCTCGTGGTGACGGACGCCTCCTGTACAGAAAGCGTGGCACTCGCTGGCTGCGTCGGGGCTCAGAGACGCTCCGTGGGTGGGTGGTGGAGGGGGGCCTCGCTGCCAGCCGGGGGGCCCCCCTTCAAATTGGCCGCTCGAGCGAAATCATTCCAATTCACACGTCGGCGCTATAATTACCACCGACGCGCCAGCCCGCACCTTCCCTGCACCCCACTCATCCAGACGCACCGCTACAGTCCGCCAGGGCCGTCCATATTGTATGGGGGGGGGGGGGCACTCGTTGTGTATGGGGGGGGGACACTCGTTGTGTATTGGGGGGGGACACTCGTTGTGTATGGGGGGGGGACACTCGTTGTGTATGGGGGGGGGACACTCGTTGTGTATAGGGGGGCACTCGTTGTGTATGGGGGGGCACTCGTTGTGTATGGGGGGGGCACTCGTTGTGTATGGGGGGGGGACACTCGTTGTGTATGGGGGGGGACACTCGTTGTGTATGGGGGGGGGACACACGTTGTGTATGGGGGGGGGCACTCGTTGTGTATGGGGGGGACACTCGTTGTGTATGGGGGGGGGACACGTTGTGTATGGGGGGGGCACTCGTTGTGTATGGGGGGGGACACTCGTTGTGTATGGGGGGGGACTCGTTGTGTATGGGGGGGGACACTCGTTGTGTATGGGGGGGGGGCACTCGTTGTGTATGGGGGGGGGGGGCACTCATTGTGTATGGGGGGGACACTCGTTGTGTATGGGGGGGGACACTCGTTGTGTATGGGGGGGGGCACTCGTTGTGTATGGGGGGGGGACACTCGTTGTGTATGGGGGGGGGACTCGTTGTGTATGGGGGGGGGACACTCGTTGTGTATGGGGGGGGGCACTCGTTGTGTATGGGGGGGGGCACTCGTTGTGTATGGGGGGGACACTCGTTGTGTATGGGGGGGGACACTCGTTGTGTATGGGGGGGCACTCGTTGTGTATGGGGGGGGACACTCGTGGTGTATGGGGGGGGGGGACACTCGTTGTGTATGGGGGGGGACACTCGTTTGTGTATGGGGGGGGGGACACTCGTTGTGTATGGGGGGGGCACTCGTTGTGTATGGGGGGGGACACTCGTTGTGTATGGTGGGGGGCACTCGTTGTGTATGGGGGGGGGGACACTCGTTGTGTTTGGGGGGGGGACACACGTTGTGTATGGGGGGGGCACTCGTTGTGTATGGGGGGGGGGGACACTCGTTGTGTATGGGGGGGGGCACACTCGTTGTGTATGGAGGGGGGGGGACACTCGTTGTGTATGGGGGGGGGACACTCGTTGTGTATGGGGGGGGGGGGACACTCGTTGTGTATGGAGGGGGGGGGGCGATACTCGTGTACAGGAGGACACCCCTATTCGTTCCATAATGGTTTCGACCTGTCACGTGATGTTCAGGGCTCACATTGATTGGCCACCACACGAAACCCCGACTCAATATCGACGGTGGGGACAGCCAATTTCAAAGGCCACAATGCACTGTGGTGGTGGTGGTGAACACGTGACGGCGGTGAGTCCTTCATCGACAACGTCACGAAGCAGTCCTCAAAGAGCTGTACGCGGCTCCGGAGCCACAGGTTTGCCGACCCCTGCCCATGGTAAACTGAACTCCCATGGTAAACTGAACTCCCATGGTAAACTGAACTTCCATGGTAAACTGGACTCCCATGGTAAACTGGACTCCCATGGTAAACTGAACTTCCATGGTAAATTGGACTTCCATGGTAAACTGGACTTCCATGGTAAACTGGACTCGCATGGTAAACTGAACTCCCATGGTAAACTGGACTCCCATGGTAAACTGAACTCCCATGGTAAACTGAACTCCCATGGTAAACTGGACTTCCATGGTAAACTGGACTCCCATGGTAAACTGGACTCCCATGGTAAACTGAACTCCCAGGGTAAACTGGACTCCCATGGTAAACTGGACTCCCATGGTAAACTGAACTCCCATGGTAAACTGGACTCCCATGGTAAACTGAACTTCCATGGTAAACTGGACTCCCATGGTAAACTGGACTCCCATGGTAAACTGAACTCCCATGGTAAACTGGACTCCCATGGTAAAGTGGACTCCCATGGTGAACTTGACTCCCATGGTAAACTGAACTTCCATGGTAAACTGGACTCCCATGGTAAACTGGACTCCCATGGTAAACTGAACTCCCATGGTAAACTGGACTCCCATGGTAAACTGGACTCCCATGGTAAACTGGACTCCCATGGTAAACTGAACTCCCATGGTAAACTGGACTCCCATGGTAAACTGAACTCCAATGGTAAACTGGACTCCCATGGTAAACTGGACTCCCATGGTAAACTGGACTCCCATGGTAAACTGAACTCCCATGGTAAACTGGACTCCCATGGTAAACTGGACTTCCATGGTAAACTGGACTCCCATGGTAAACTGGACTCCCATGGTAAAGTGGACTCCCCTGTTGAACCCGTGCCCCCAACCCCCCCCCCCGACAGGGGTGTGCGTGTGCTCCTCGCTGGCCTCGCTCGCGTGGAGCGTCGCCGCCTACCACAAGACCCTGCGCGACTCTCGCGACGACAAGCTCCCGCTGGGCTACCGCGCCGCCGCCGCCGTGGCGCTCTGGCACCTGCTGACGGCGGCGTCGCGCGCCCTCGCCTTCGCGCTCTTCGCCTCCGTGTTCCAGCTCTACTTCGGCGTGTTCCTCGTCCTCCACTGGTGCCTCGTCACCTTCTGGGTGGTGCACGCCGGCACCGAGTTCTGCGCCTCCAAGTGGGAGGAGATCCTCTGCGACCTCGTCGCCGGCGTCGCCGGCACCTTCTGCTGGGTCAGCGTCAAGGGCGGCCCATCGCGCTGCCGCCTGGCGGCGTTCCACGCGCTCGCGCTCGCCGAGAACGCCGCGCTCGCGCTGCTCTGGTGGTTCTACCGCGACCGGCGGCTCACCGACGCCTACGCCGCGCCGGCGCTCGCCCTCGTCTTCGGCTCCTTCGCCGCGGGCCTCGGCTTCATGCTCGCCTACTACGGCTGCCTCCACCCGAGCCGGCCGTGCGCCGCCGGGCGCGCCGGTGACGCCGGCGAGAAGGGGAAGTGCGCCGCGGCGGCCGACGACGGCGGCGTAGCGGAACCCGCGCGCACCAACTGCTGCTTGTGCTGCCGCGACAGCGGCGGCGGCGGTGCCGGGGCGCGGCCGGGGTCGTCCGCTTCGCCGGTGCCGGCGAACGGCTCGGCCGTGGGGGCGCCGAACCCCCGCGCCGCGCCGCAGACTCCACAGTCCAACGCGTCGGCCCGAGCCGGGACGGGCGCCACCACGACGCCCGTGCTGACGCGGGCGGGCGGCGCTCCGCCCGCCGTCGGCCCCGCCGGCCCGGCCGGCGGGGCGGCGGGGGCGACGATGACGGCGTCGGGCCCCCGCGCCGGAGCAGACGCTGCTGGTGCTGCTGGACACGTGCGGCAGCGCCGGCCCCATCTTCCAGGTGCGCGCCGCGTCTCGCCCGCCCTCCGCCTACTGGCCGGTGCTGCACGGCGCGAGCGGCGTCGGCGTCGGCGTGGGCGCCGGCGGCGGCGTCAGCGTCAGCGGAGTCGGCGGCGGCGGGAGCCCCCACACGCCCTCGCGCCGGGCCGGGCACGGCGGGGGCCGCGGGCCCTCGCGGAGCGGCCCGGTGATCCGAATCGACATGCCGCGGCGGCGCTACCCGGCGTGGGACGCGCACGTCGTGGACCGCCGGCTGCGGCGCAGCATCCGCGTGCTGGAGAGGGCCACGCCGGGCGTGGTGGCCGTGCGCTACCAGGGCGACGCCGCGGCCTACGAGCTGGCCGAGTACGAGACCACGGTGTGACCGCCGCTCGCCGAGCGGAGGGGTGGGCGTGGCCATGCTGGAGAGGGTGAGGAGGGAGGAGGGAGCGGAGGGGCAGTTTTGGGGTACGCAGCGTGGGAGCCAATCGGGTGCGAGTTCGTCCGTGAGCCCACCCGGCCCCGAGCACCGTAGCTAGAGCTCAAACCCCGTCTCACTCGACGGCGAGCTGTCAGTACAGCACTAGGCCTCTCACTAATTCCAAAACCCTAACCGCACTTAATCCAATCGAACTGCAGCACCTAAATTCTGACCGGCGAGTACCAACCAGCTGCAAGTACTTGCCGTAGCCCTAACGAATAAACCAAAAAAATATAGTACGAGCCATACTCCAAGCCGACCCAAGCAGCTCACTATCCACTGGTGCGGGCCCCTCCCGATGACCCTGGCAGCACCGCGAGCCCCAACACCTGCGGCACTGAACTTGAGGGCCCTTCTCGCTTCATTTTTTATTTTGCCGAGTTCACTTTGCTGTTGCCGGCACTGTAAAAGGTCTGTGACGAAGAAATGGTGGTCAGAAGGGGGTGGGGGGTGGGGGGGAAGGGCATGAGGGGACGACCTCCCGAATCTCAGTGGCCTGAGTTTGCCTTGGCCCGTGCTCCCTTGAGTGCTGGATGGTGCTTACAAGTTTTTGCTGGCACTTGTCCCCCGTAGCCAGTGCTACGGGCGGGGTTCCAGTCTATTCATCGGGTGATGACCAACCCCCCCCCCCCCTCCTTTTGTTGACTTTACACAACGTCGAACATTCGAGAACGTCCCCCTGCTTCAAAGAGCAATGCGGCCGTGCTCGCCTCCATTTGGCGGCTCTGAGCCAGTGGTGACAATTCCACGTTCCTATGGCAGGGACAAGTCTATGCGTGGAATAACTGCTGTTTGGGTGCCCCGCAAAAGAGTGGTACCCATTTTATGATCCCTGGGATGAATGATGATGACGATGGGTTTGAATATACCCAAGACCAGGATGTGCACTTGTGCGGTTCCGTTTGCGAGTCGTGTGCTCTGATGCTTTGACATGACACAACACGTCCTGGCTCTGTTTAGCCTTACGGATTTAGCGACTGTTGGGGCGAGTGCTGTTAGCGAGCGTCTGTTTAGGGCCAGCACAACACCCGACCCTCGTGCGAGTGGCTGGCGGTCTGGCTGCAACCACACAGTAGGTACTGCTGACAACACACACACCACCACACACACCACACACATTACACCACCATACACACCACACACATCACACCATACATATCACACCACCACATAAATCCCACACCACACATCACACACACACGACCATACACACCACACGCATCACACGCACATCACATACCACATAAATCACACACCACACACATCACACACACCACAAACACCACACACATCACACACACACCACACACAACCAGCCACCTTCACTTTACCAATGTTGATGTCCATTCCCCATCATCAATTACTCATTTTAGGCTGAAACAACCTATAGGGGGTAGGTCCGAGCCAGCTTCAAATGTCAATTGCGCACTGAGGGGTGATTGTGGGTGTGTGTGTGTCATTGCCGGGAATCGAACCCGGTGGTTTTAGGACTGGTGGCGAATTGTGCTCAGAAAGTATCGGAAACCAATTCCTACCCAACCCCCTACCTCAGTGTTCTTCATTGCAAGGCCCGTGGGCCACTGGCAGCCCCTGGTGGCCTTTAGTGCGGCCCCTGACAGGACACAGACAGATGTGAAAAGGCTCCCTTGCTGGCGGTGTGGTGGTGGCCCTCACGCTGATGATGTCTTATCGGCAAAAGTGGCCCCCTTCGGAAAATTGTAGTGAAGAACACTGCCCGACTTTCTGATGCACACCCAGCCCATCTGTCAGCGAGCGAGTTTCCAATCAGCTGTTCGGTGCACGTAAATGCTGTTTAATGGGATTAAAACAATGTTCGGGCAAATGTATTTAATGGATAAAAGATTATACCTCTTTTAAAAAATGTAACTTACAACTCAATAGCGAGGCGAACATTTGCATATCCCTAATTGTTTATTTTTGTTTCGTTTGTCATTTTAAATGATTACGTGTTGAATGCGTCGAGCGAGGACGCGGATAATTTACCATAATGTGTTTCTCGTGAAGCGGAATCATTTCCACCCCTCCACCCCCTCTCGTATTTACCAATTTAGACGACTCTCTCAGGGCCTTCTCTGCTTTAAAGGAAAACCGCAGGGACGTGCGGCAGCCCTCAGGGTGGGGCCCTTCGCCTCGCCGCCGTACCACGACTTGCGTCACAAGCGGTAAAGGTCACGTGGTTTCCGTTCGGGGTGGGGGGGGGAGGGGGACATGTTCACGCGAGCGACGATGCCTCGATTCGTTGACGGACGCCGAACGCTACGCTCACGACGCCGCGCTTAGATTCCGCACGTACGAGATGTCATTTGGGATGCACGATAGGCTACGCGAGTGCGTTTACCTGTCGGGTTATTGGCACGACGACGACGCCGCCGCCACCACACGAGACGCATGATGCTGACGAGACGGTACAAAGCGAGACACGTCGTACAAACGAGACCGGGACAAGCCGTGCGGGCGATACGACGAGGCAGTGCGAGCGACACAGTGGAAATGAGACGGACGCTACAGATTGGACAGATGACACGGCATGAACAATACAATGAAACGAGCCAACACCAATGAGACATGCAATACAAAAGGGGCGGAATGTACGTGAGAGACAGCACAAAGCGAGATGGTACGAACGCGATGAACAATATATAACAGGTCCTTAAATCGAATTGTCGATGCCGAATCATGATAACTCGTCGAATCGCAGAGCTGATTGAATTCATTGCGCGCCAACTCTCTCAACTATTTCTCTCTATCCAACCGGAAACCCAGTGGCTTGAGCACATTGATGGATGTTGTTAAAGGACGTTGAGGGACGTTGAGGCTGACACCAAATGGAACAACTCCCACCGTGGCACACATCGCCAATCCCTCTGTCCTGAAGCTCGCATCCACGCGCCACGCTGGGGCAAGCAGCTCGCTGCTTGATGCGATCGGTTGAGGGCCGGCCAAAGTCTTTACGGCTCCATTGTTTCCATGGCACAAGCCAACTGAAGTTGACCCGCCCGAGTCGACGCTCCTGGGCAAGACCGCCCCCGTGCCAGTGCCAGGCACGCGGGACCGCGAGGCCTCAGAAGTTGCTACGTTCACGACATAAATGTAGGCCCTCATTTATGTCGTCGACGGAACGCCGCTCTCCCCGCCCCCCCCCCGCACCCACCGTTCCCCACCCAGTTTTCAGTGGTAAAATCACCAAGGCCTCGTTGGTGGTGGTGGTGGTGGTAGAAATATGCGTTTAGAGCAGTGGTTCTTAACCTGGGGTGCACGCACCCCCTGGGAGTGCGAGATTCACATTTCTGGGGGTGAGAGACACGGACAGATTTTTTTGTTCGAAGGTAAATCGTCGAAACACTAATTAAGCACGGTCACGTTAAGTAGAACTTACTTTGTTTCATCAAACCCTTTGTATTTATTAACATTGTATTTTTTTTACGATCGAGAGCCAAAGGGGTAAAAGGCTGCAGTAAAAGGTTAAAAACCACGGGTTTAGAGAATGTGGCCGCTGGAAATGTCCACGTGGTAAGCCACTTGGTTGAGCTGTCATTTGTGGCCTGGTCGCTTCTGAAAAACAGCTCATAGCCCAGTGGGATTTACCTGGTAAAAAAAAAAACAACTTTCAAATAGTTTACTTTCAACGCTGCATTTTCTGCTTATTTCATTTACGATAACTTTTGGTGGAGAAAAAAAAACGCAACTGTGTTTTTTTTAAATGCGTTAAATAGCAGCGCCTTGCCTGTTTTATGGCGAATAGGAGCACACAGCACCTCCGTGGATGTGGAGATTTGCGACTCCTGCCAGGCATTGGTGGAAATTTCAACTTTGCTGTTCGTTTTCAACCAATGGAGAAGCGCGGCGCGGGGTTTGCTTCGGGGGGGGGGGGGGGCGGCGAGCGATGTGGGATGGCGGACGTGTGGAGGGGTGCTCGGTGCAGAGATGTCATTGAGATCTGAGACGTAGGGAGGGGTGGAGGTTCATCGCCGACTGGGCTCACCGCCACCACCACAATTCTCACCCCTCCAACCCACCGCCACTCCCCTCCCCACCACCACTCTCACCGCTCCCCACCACCATTATCACCAGCACCACCACCACCATTCTGACTACTCTAATCCACTATCACTCCCTGCCACCACTCTCACCACTCCCCACCACCACCATTCTCACCACTTTAATCCACCACCACTTCTACCACTCACCACCGCCATTATCGCCAGCACCATGTCCACTATCCCCTCGTGTGCTGTGCCGGCCTTCATAAAATGCTCCGATAATAGCCCTTGCCCGAAAAAGTCTGTTTAAAAGGCTATACGGGGGATCTTTATCTTTGCGCTCCATAACGTGCGCGGTCGGTAGATTTCGTTATTTTTACATTTTCAGCAACTAAACGCATCGGAAAACGGTGACGAGTTACTGAATTCAGAAACCGATAACTCCTTTTTTTTTGGGGGGGGGGGGGAATAATTTTGATTCGTTACGAAGCGACGCCTACTCGAGAGCCACCCACTGTCCCCAGGTTGCTGACAGGCCTCTCATTGATTTTGCTCTGATAAAATATGATGGCCGGACCGCGTTTTATATTTCAGCGCACGTGTGTGTGTGTGTACGTGTGAGTCTTGTAAGACACCCGAATTGGACGATCGATGAACCCACAGACAGACAGACAAAGATCCCCCGTATAGCCTGTGGCAGATTGCTGGGGCAAGTGCCGTTAGCGAGCACCTGTGTAAACTGTGAAGCCGCCACGGCGCACGAGTGGGTGGGTGGGTGGCCAGCACCACGAGCCTGCCGCCGCCTTTGAGTCTTACCCAGTGGCGATGTTCACACACGCCGCACCAGGTACTCATTTGAGGCTGAGTCGAACTAGGGGAGGGCCCAGGGCCGGTTCAGATAATCGTCACAGGGTGTTGTCCGTGAGCTGGAATCGAACTCGAGTCGCCGGGTTCGTAGCGCAGTGCGCTAATCGCAGCGCCACCGCTCGCCCCGCGTTTTATATTTCAGCTCACGTGTGTACGTGGGGTCTTGTATACCAATGAGAGCGAGGAACCCACGGAGAGACGCGCACATAGAGAGAGACGCGCGGAGAGACTCAGACGCACTGACAGACAGGCACACGGACACACGGAGACGCCTCCAGTTAGACAGACCCTAAGACAGAGACCCACAGACTGACTGACTAATCCGGAGTGTGTTCGTGTGTGTGTTTGCAC